AGGCTGTGTTTCTTCCATTGTGTGTCTTTGGCTCCTTTGTCGAATATCAGCTGGCTGTAGGCCTGTGGATTTATTTCTGGATCTTCTATTCTATTCCATTGGTCTTCTGGTCTGTTTTTGTGCCAGTACCATGCTGTCTTTGTTATTATAGCTCTGTAGTAGAGTTTGAAGTTCGGCATGGATATCCCTTCCATGTTGTCTTTCTCTGAAGAGCTTGGGTATTAGTTCTTCTTTAAAGGTCTTATAGAATTCTGCTGTGAATCCATCTGGTCCTGGGCTTTTTTTTTTGTTGGAAGATTTTGATAGCTTCCTTTATCTCGTTGTAGGATATTGGCTTATTAATTGGTTTACTTCTTCTTTGCTCAGCTTGGGCAACTTGTATTTCTCTAAAAATGCATCCATTTCTGCCAGATTTTCTTCCTTTAGAGAGTATAACTTTTGAAAGTAGTCCGTTAGGATTGTTTGGAAATCTTAGGTACATGTTGTGATTTTTCCCATGGCATCCTTAATCCTGTTAATATGGGTTTCCTCTCTTCTTAATTAATCTTGTGAACGGTCCATCAATTTTATTTATTTTTTTAAAGAACCAGCTTTTGGTTTTTTTTTTTTTTTTGGGTCCGGTTGTGGGGTCTGAACTCTGGGCCTGGGCACTTTCCCTCAGCTCTTCAGCTCAAGGCTAGTGCTCTACCACTTGAGCCACAGTGCCACTTCCGGCTTTTTCTTTTTGCTTATGTGGTGCTGAGGAATTGAACCCAGGGCCTGAGGCATGCAAGACAAGTGCTGTACGACTGAGCCACCTTCCCAGCCCAGAACCAGCTTTTTGTTTGGTTAATTTTGGCTATAATTTTCTGATATTCTAATTGGTTAATCTCTGCTCTTAATTTGGTTATCTGGCTCCATCTAGTAACTTTAGGTTCCATTTTTTCTTGTTTTTCTAGCTGTTTCAATTGCAACATGAGATTATTTACTTTGTCTATTTCCATTTTCTTGATGTGGGCACTGAGAGCAATAAATTTGCCCCTCAGAACTGCTTTTACTGTGTCTCACAAGTTTCTTTGCAAGCTGTTTTCATTTCCATTGAGTTGTAGGAAATGTTTTATTTCTTCTCTGATCTCTTCCATTACCCAGGCATTGCTAAGAAGTGTGCTGTTCAATTTCTATGTATTAGAGAAATTTCTGAGATATGCTTTGTTATTGAGAACTAGCTTGATTTCACTGTGGTCAGAAAGGATACAGGGGATTATGTCCATTCCTTTGTATTTGCTTAAGTTCCTTGCATGAACTATGATATGGTCTATTTTGGAGAAAGTTCCATGAGCTGCTGAGAAGAATGTGTACTGTGTTGTTTTAGGGTGAAATACTTAGGAGATGTCAGTTAATTCCGCTTGAAGTATGGCCTCACTTAATTCGGTAGCTCCTTTGCCAATCCTCTGGTTGGTAGACCTGTCCTTCGGTGAGAGTGATGTATTAAAGTCTCCTAGTACTATCGTATTGGGAT